TGGCTTTGCAATGCATCATTCTTTCTCCTGCTCTCAGCATTTTTTCAGAAATTCTAAGTTAACTCCTGCAATGCTCGGAACTTGCTTTCCTTTATAAAAGAGAAAAAGCACCAGAAGAAATACAAAAGAACCACCTAAGGAGGAGATCACCTGGACAAGGTAACCTGAAATTAAACCAACCACATGCATCATCTTTCGTTTTTCATCAGTTCTTCCGGAAGTATTCAAGAGACTCACTTCTGTTCAGACAAATGTCAAGAGAAAACAAATGACATGCATGAAGACAGACAGCATCAACACAGCTCACTTGTCCAGTTCACAGACCCACCGGCTGTGCCAGTGCCAGGCAGGGTGTCACAAGGAGACAGGCAGAACTACTGATTGCTCAGCATTTGCAGCAGAGGAGAGAGGAGAATAAAGGCATTTTAAGACGTACTGCATGTGTTCTAGGAACAGAGAGCAACATGGGTCAGCTAGACCAGCATTCACGGAAGTACCTCCGTGGCCTGGTGTCCAAGAACTTGCAGCCATCACAACACAGGGATTTTACTGGTCAAAATGGAATAGTGTATTTTATATTGCGTGCAGAGGCCTGTGCTGACCAGAGCAGAGCGCGCGGTCGCAGAGACATGCCCGAGTGGCAGCTGAACAACAAGACAGAGACAAGTGGGTTCAACCAGAGAGTTTAGCAAGACTCAGACACCGAACACAGGATGAGCAGAGGTAAGCGCTACTGAGGCTTTGAGATCTAAACCCAGAAACTTGGCAACACAGCCAGAGAGAGTGAATAATACTTACAAAAGCTTCTGAGTATGTCACGCAGGTGAGCTCTGTGCCAAGCTGATGAATGAGCACGTACAACAAAAAGGTTACAAAAACACAGATTTCACAAGGGATGACACAACAAAGTACACAAAGAATTTTCACAAACGCATGCTATTGTCTTTAGGCATCTAAAGTTTACAATTCACCTGTAAATATAAAGTTTAGAATTCAGCTATAACAGTGCAGTTGTAGTACACTATGCCTGCTTTTCTCTTCTGTTTCTATCCAAAGATAGCTAATATGATGTCTCAGTATTCAGAAAGCACTCACTACAACTAACAGAGATATCAATAAATTCAAATTGGTTAATGATTTAATATTATTAAATGCAATAATTCATTAATGCTTTAATAAGAAAAGATGACAGAACAGTAGAAATTGCAATGGATTCTTAAGACAAATCTCTATGAGAAAATGACTGAATCTACCAATAGTAGAACTACTTAACTGTCATGAGGTTTGGTTACAAAAAAAAAAAATTAAAATCAAGAAAAGCTGAAGTAAACCACCAGATACCATAATCTTTACTACTACAAAGAAAGAGCAAGAGCACTCTTTTCTGAACTGCAAAATATACAGCACATCCCTTAGCAAGGAATTTTTTTTTTTTCCCTTCTCTTCCTCTCATATTTAATATCAGATTAGAAAAGTATCTGTACTGCTGTACACTGCTTTTGTGTCAAAACACGAGTTTTCCTATAACTTTGCACACATACATATCTCTGTTCCTATGAGTTTAGAAAAAAATGGAAAAAACATGAAATTCGGGTTTTTCTCCTACCTCCCAATTATCAGAAAATACCGTCTACTAAGGCCTACTAAGACCAAAAGACAGTGAGGTTTGTGCAGTGGTAAAAAAAGCCTGGACTTTCACTGGAAGGCAGCTGTAAGAGGTTAAACAAACACATTTAATTCAGGGGCAGAAAGATACTTTGGAATTTTCCCACAATAATATCTCAAGAAATATAGCTACACTCTTCCAAGACAGAAACAACATTGATGGAGTCAAGCATGCCTGATTATACATTAGATATTCACCTAATCCAAGGCAAGAAGCATCTTCTATGCAAACTTTATTATGCAAGCAGGATAATCCCCAGATTCACCGTTCAGTCATTTAAGTGAAAATACAAGAAACGGCCCAACTAGAATCAAAGACAGCAAAAATAAAGACAAGCACATATCTTTCTCTGATTCCTAGTTCTCGTTTTCTTCTTCTCCCCAGTGATGACAGGTTGACAGATAGAAGGAAATATATATCCGCCCCACAGTCTTCCATACAAGTAAATACAAAAAAAAAAAAATCAAGTGTTTATTGGAAGTCTGCATGAAGGCACAGATGAGCTTGATTACAGACACATCGTAACAATTACAAATATATGTAAACACCTTGAGATATACAACAAAGCAATAATACAGCTAATACAGGAATAAAATGTAACCTGCTAAAAAAAAAAACAAACTTCTTTTGAGGTTCTTTCAACCATAAGCTCTGATTCACACCAACACAGTGTAATGTTTTTAAAGTCATCATTTGGATTCATGCTCAACAAATCTGCACTTTGACCATTGTTGTTAATCAGTGAATTTATAAATTTCATCTGAATTTGAACAGGTTTCCTTCACTAGGATTGGGAAAACATAGGAATAACCAGCTAGACAGCCAATCGACCTACAATGAGGCTTCATAGATTCTCTAAATACACAAGAGCAATCACCAAGGTACTGAATTAAACATGAACTGCAGAAAAGCTCAAGGATGCTTGTTCCGTTTTCACTTGTATTTGAGGAAATTGCTGTATTTCTACAGGAAAGGAACAGTCTACAGCTGTCAGGTGATTTTTTTTTTTTTCTTCCTCCACAGGAGGCTTAGATTTCATCTGAAACACCTGCCAAAACAAAAGTCAGCAATCACAAACTAAAGTGCCTTGGACAGCTCAGGTTTTACCACTAGAATAAAAGACCTTCGTTCATAGATACAGTATTAATTTATATTGAGAGAAAACCTGCCTTCACACATAGAACACTACTTCCAATATTTCTGTGGAAAGGGGAATTGCTTTTTTGTGTTTTAATTAGATACCACTGCCAGGAACTTAAAGAACTGCAACACAGCACTTTTTGAAAGGAAATCACACAGAAAAATAATGTAGTTTTAGTACAGGCAATTCCCAGGCCTAGCCAAAGAGTACTCTGAGCAGCAATTTACTACAGGGACACGCAGCTTTCTCAAACTCAGCCCTCAACCACCTGTTCTAACTCTCCACTCCTTGTCCACAAAAGCTTTACAACCTCCAGAGCCTAGTTCCAGTGAGGAAAGACTCCTATCCAGATAATACATGCAGAACAAAATCTAGCACAGCTACAACATTTCTCCTGACCCTGCGGCCACAACATCCCAACCTAAAGATGAGGTAGTACTTTTCTTTGGAGTCTAACTAGTTGAATAGGAACAAGTACTATTCTCCCTAATGTAGCAGCTGTTCGTTAACGCAGCACCAAACTCCATAGTTTTATCTCCTCTTCAGGGCACATCACTAATGCAAAACCAGCAACAGCTGCTTAAAAAAAAAAAAAAATCATGATATGAGCACACATTCCCACTTGAACTCTGACTGCATCACAAAGGCCACCGTCTGGCATATTCAGTGACTTCCTCCGGTCCCCAAAGCGGCAATGACTCTTAACCTCTATTTGTATTGGGACTAGTGGTTATTACCCAAAAAGAACATGAAGGATATCCTGAGTACTTATTACAGTGAGATGTGGAATTTAAAAATCAAAAGACTAAGAAGTCTAGTCCAAATCCAGAAAGGGCTGGGAGAGAAATTCAGCTCCTCAGGGAACTGAGGAAACCAGATGTATATGTATACAGCCTATGTGGTAGTCAGGGGCTCTGTTTTCTCCCTCTTCAAGAAGACAGATCCTTCCCCTCAAGGAGGCTGTTGTAAAATATGCATGTATCATAATTTTATAGCTTACACTCATAAACCTTCTGGTTTCTTATGAGATGGCTTGAACTGGAGAAATATGTTCTGCATAGTCCATGCTCTGTAGACTCCTAAGGATCAAAAAGAAATAGACTGCCATGACTGAAACAAAAAGGAAACATCAGAAAGAGTTGATCAGTGTTAGAACTCATACTGCTTGTAAAAACTAAGCGTTAGGATTAGAAAAACCATTACAAGACTTAAACAAGGTCCCTGGATGCATCCTCTTAGTAAGCAATAATCAACACAGAGGATGAGAGATTGTGTTCTTTGACTGACGAAGTATTCAAGGCTCTTCTATTTGTTTCTGTGATCAGTTTCCATTTATTTCACAAAATACAGTCTATATTGCCTTCTGTCAGCAGTGCAGCTCGCACAGATCCCATGAAGCCTTCTCGTTTTCATTGCTTCCAAGTCTGCATTTCTCATTCAGCTGAAGTGCACTGGGATTCCACCCAGGCAGATGGATTACTGAACGTGAGCATTTTAACAGGAAAGGAATCCTGTTCTGTTCAGCTCCATTACAGCTATTTCCAATAGAAAAGCACTGACACTTTCTTGGAAAACTCTCATAGCTCTTTCTGCCCTTGGGAATATGCTCTCAGAGGAGTATATGTAATTAAAACAATCTTATCTGGCTGTTAGCTGGAAGACTATCTCCGAACAGTCCCACCTCTTCTTCCAAAGAACTTCTCTGGAACAAATCAAGGATGAAATAAACTCTTAATGCTCTACAGAGTATCAGCTCCATTCCAGTGTCCAAGACAGATCCCTTGAGAGAAAAAGCGAAAAGAAAGCTGCTTGATTGTCAGAGAGGAAAGCACTGCTGAAACAGCTATACGTTGTTTGTTTATTTGTTTGTTTTGGTGTGGGGTTTTTGTTGTTTTTTTATTTAAAAAAAAAAAAACTTTAGCTGTAAAGGAGTACACTCACAAAATGTTCATCACAGCTAAAAATTGCTTCTGTGGCCCTACACAACCAGTGATGATGCAGTGTACAACTGACAGGCATTAGTCAATTAGGAAAACAGAAACCCACCCAGGTGCTTCTGAGATAAAGAAGCCAAGCACTTAAGCCCTCATAGTAAGCCGGACCTCACCACCAAGTGAGTTGCTCCAGTCTATAGGAGATCTGATAAAAATCACAGCTGCACAATCATAATTCATAACTATCATTCACAAGGAAAACTGAAAATCCATTTACATTTATTAAGAGATGGTTGTGCACAATTTCTCATCTTATTCAAAAAGTCTACAAATAGAGTTTAACACTTCTGATTGCAAGCAAAGGTTTGTTCAATGTTCTTCGTTAGATAAGGCCAATTTAGTGCCTTGTTACACTTCCAAGGTTTAGTACATGTTTGTCAGTTGTTTACTTTCCTCTGGTAACAGTCCCACTGGAACAGTAAGGAGAGTTCACTAAGACACTTCATAACAGCAGCTGACAAATTCAGTTTTGGAATATGCTTCAAACTTAAATTATTCTAGGCAATTTTCCATATTAAGATCTTAAAACAACACTGTCAAAGGCTCTCCCCCCTCCCCCCAACATTTATACTACCACCACTATGAGCTCACACTCTGTAGAGCCGTATGTCCAAGAATCTCAAAGCACTTCAGAAAGGAGGGCACCATTTCAAATAGCAGTATACTTCAGCTGGAATCCTACTTATAAAAGAATATATTTTTTTGTCTTATGTTTACAAAAGGACAAGCATCAAACTAAACCAATACTATATTGACTTTAGTCCCACCTCTGACTGCCTGTAATTTTCTCACATGCAATCCTACCACTGATTCAGGAGTTCTGTTTAATTACAATGCTCAGAGTTTAGTTTCCTCTATGGAAAGGTAAGCATCTGCTACGGTCAACTATTTTCAGATGGAAGCACTGGTCAAATTTTAGGTCTGCCACAATCTTGAGAATCACTTGATTGGAGAGTCACTACCATAACTAATGTAATTTGATAATGCACTTGATCCCGTATTGGTTTAAAAAGTGTAATAGGCTATATATGCATTTCTCTAAATTCTCTCAGAGCTAAAACTACCTAGCTACAGTGAAGAAATTCTAGTTTTGCCTTAAGCGGAACCTTTTACATCATTATTTTAACTTACTATTTTGATTTAGAGCACTAATTTTATAACGATTTTCCATTTGCAATTCTTGCCGAAGAGGTGAGCGGCAAACACGAAAATATATGTACAAGTGTTAGTATACTACCAGAATGCTGTACTTCCTTCTTAAAAATGTCCTTAATAAAGCATTAGGCATGTCAAACAAACTTTTGTAAACAAAAGATAAATTACTCATGTTCTGCTCTGATTATAGCCAGATACATATTCTCATAAAATAAACATTCTCTTGTCATTTTCCATGGCCCACATATCCATATATATGAGGTAAACCACTTAAAATCATCAATAATATATAAACCTCAGTATTCAACAGGAACTTCAGAAAAAACGTTAACTGAGTTAAGATGTCAATATCAAGAAGTGACACTTCGTTCCACTGCAAAGTGAAACCAATTTATTGTGCTAAATGAATGGAAAGAATGTATTCAGAATACATCTCTTTATACATTGTACCGGCTTAGGCTGCTAAATAAGCATTCATTAGTGCCACGTTGTGCTACTTTCTTGTACTCTGTTTCTACCAAGCAATACCTTTTGGCTGTTAGGCCAATATATTCCTACATGCTCACCTTGTATCTTATTTTCTAACAGACTTTTGAACATTTAGAATACCTGTTCAAACTTTGCTTCAGGGGAAATCACAATTCATATATTTTAACAAGAAAAAAATTATCATCAGCTGTTCTCTACAATCACATTGCCTTCTGCAGCAAAAAAATCAAAGAGCACACTTAATCAGCTATCAGTAACCTGTGGGCAGGACCACACTTACCGCAGTTAATCGTGAGAGATCACACAGTATGGGCAGCTTACAGGTTAATGTAAATGTCAAGTGAAATCATCAAATCTTAAGGTCCACGAATTGTACATTCCACAGACTCCAACAAGCCAGTTCCCTCACTGCAAAATTCAGACTGTACCATATGTTTGAGGTGCTTTTAAACAGAAGTATGGATGTGTCCTGTGTGCTGAATTAAGCTTATTTACTACGTAATACAATAGAGTATGTGTCTTGGGCACTGATTAGGGTGTCTGGCTCACTTTTGCACTAGAAGCTGTTATTTCAAATGACTGAAATGTAGTGCTGATTTTCCATAAGCTTGGTAAACACTGTAATATTTCAGAATTTATCATATTGCCCATCATGCCTTTAATCTTCTGCAAATTGTCATGAAAAAATATAAAAAGGTATCCCTTTAATTTTACAAACCTAAAAGCCAGGAAAATGAAGCTTTGGAGCCAAGCAAAACGACATAATGCCGTATTACCAAACAGAGTAGCAAATGTTCCAGCCAGAGAATGGACATACATGTAGTTCAAGTAAACACTGATGGAAAACTTTGTTAAGTTAGTGTTGTAGACCCACAACACTGGCTGCATTTTATACAAACGTTTACAACACAATTAACAGTGAAGCCTACACAACCTCAGTGCAAATAAGTCAAATCCAAATATGCCAAGTAAGCCTTTGGCTTTTAGTAAACTGCTCCATGTTATGAGTCCACTTCTGACATACAGACTGCTGAGCACATGCACTAAGGCTGAGAGGAGGGATGCACTGAATGTTGAAAAGTGGCTGACTGCGATGCTGCGGATTGGACCGTAGGTTGCACAGGTGGTGGAGGTGGTGGCGGAGGTGGCTGCACTGGGGTCTGCGTGTTTGGAGAAGGAGGAGGAGTGGGACGTTTAAATTTGTCAGGGCTGTTACTTCTTCGTGGTGAAGGCCTCTGCAGAACAAATATTGAAATTATGTTTAACACACTCCTGAACAACTTTAGGTTCAAGTCCTCTAATCAATGTACTGAGCTTGGCAAAGGAAAAAAAAAAAAAAAAAACCAAAAAAAACCAACGCAAAAAATCCAAACAATTATCCAAACAATTATCCAAACAATTGCAAGAATCACAATACAACTTTTACATAAAACAAACGTTTCTCTGTAATGGAGTAGCAAAGGAAAGAGGAAGTACTTTTGAGATCAAACAGAACACGCATTCCTTCCTGTCAGCTTGCAGGAAATGAACGCAAGACACATGTCCCGAAGATACATTTACCTATGACGACCAGCAACCTAAACTGAAATGAGAGATGCTGTAGAGACAGCACCTTCCAGTTGCTGAGGAACCTTTAACTTTCTGCTGCTGCTGTATGAAGTCCAACCACATAGCACCTGAGTGCGGGTGGGAACATTTCAAATGCCAGAGGGCTTGCCCAGAATCTCTAGTTTTCTGAAAGACTCAGCCTGCATGCTGAAGCAAAACCAAAGCATTAATATTAGTAGTTCTTTGGAGAAAAAAAAAAAAAAGATTACAACCCTTTGAGCTGCAGGAGTGAAGCAGTTGTTAGAGAGCTCCCCTCCACAGAAATCACAGATTTTCAACAACCTACATGTTTAAACGCAAAAATTTAAAATCCACTTTATCTTTACAAACCAGGTGGGGAACACACACCTTCTTCAACATTGGCAATGTAAAAATATAAATTACACTGCACAACACTAACTTCTGCACTTTTTGAAACTAAAATGCTCACTATTTATCAACCTGGTCAGCATTAATCAAGAACCTCATGGCATGACAAACCACCCACCCACAATTAATAACCAACAAAAGGTGATCAGCTCTGAGGAGAAGCATGATTACAATGCTACACCAAATGTACTACAGGTAAAGTCAATTTATTCTGTAATGGAGAACAAAAATGAAGAGTCAGGAATCCAACTGCAGTTTAGTCAAATAAGGTATATTGTATCTATTTTTCTCCACAACTATGTACAATAGATTAATGCTCTATACGAAAAGCCAAGGGATTCTTGACAACTGACTAATGCCTCTGAAACAATAATTTATTGCATTTGCATACATCTAATAACATGAAGGGACCTGGTTTCAGTAGTAGCCAAGAGGTACTCATCAACACCTTTCTCAAAACAACTATGTTGTTCTGAAGATGATCTTTTCCATAGCGACTCAATGTGACACCAATTAATATACAGTTTCAGAAAGAGTACTATTTCACAGAGACTGAACAGTACAAGTTCCTTGAAAAACTTGTATATAAAATTAGGTTCCAGGTTTTCCAGAAGCATGAAGATCTTCCTGTGACTAACTCATGTGACATACAGCAGTGGGCTGAACTCGGACCAGGACTCAGAAGGGTATTTCTGCTGAGCTTCAGCTTCCCTTCTGTTCTACCCACTACTGTAGTGTTCCTATCACTCTTTGCTCAATGAAATTAATGATTACTTTTGCAAGCTCACCTAACAATTTTAGAAGCAGTCATATTTTAGCATTCTACTAAAAATTCTATTGAAACACGTTTTCACATCTGTGAATGACAAGTATATGCAAAAACCTTGCAGGATATTTATATACTACCATACCTGTTGAGAAAAATGTTCTTGATACAACAACTACAAGGTATTTTGCCAAATGGTTAATATTTAGGCTCTGTTTGCTCATCAAACTCCACAAATATTTAGAACAAACATGATTAAGTAGAAATGCGTCAAACATCGGAGGTGAAAAGGAAATAAATCCAGTTGAAAGATATGAGAAATTGTCCTAACCAATGTTTATATTAACTTTCTTCTTTGCCAATGACAACAGAAAATAGTTAACTGCCTGTTACAGTGACATGGTGGTAGCATTGTGTGTCATCCTGAAGAAAACCTGAGCTTGGAGCAACCTCAGATGACTCATCCGTCAGATGGTGGAGACTAGGAGAAAAATGAAAGTAATGTTTTTACTTCCCAGGATAGGCTTAGTAGCTTAGAACATCACTTCTCACACCCTGCCTGCTGATCCATAAGATGATACCTATTACTGTCCTTAAGATGATAATACATCCTATTTTTTTGCAGAAAATAAGGTTCTTCAAAAAGAATCAGTTTCTGAGGGGTGAAGAGGAAAATCAGGGTTGAAGAAAGCATCAATAGGTATCTTGGAGTAAGGAGAAAAAAAAAACATTTACAGAAAAGGTCTTGTAAAAAAGCTTAAGGACAAGCAATCATAACTTTTAGAAACCAAACTGACATTAGTAACAAGTATTTTTCAATACTTACTGTAATACCATGGGATGGTCCCATATGTTGCACATGAAGGCCTGGGGAATTGTAGTAAGACATTCCAGCTCTAGTCAGTGAAGTTGGTGGTGTGAAACCGACTGTGTGACTTGCATATGACAGACCTAAAGATTGTTAAAACAAGGTAACATCAACATTCTTATTTATTTTACAAACTAAAGTGCAAGGTGTTTTTTTTTTATATTTTTTTAGTTCTAAATCAATGATAGGTTAAAAAATAACTGCTGTCAGATCAGACACCTAAAAAAGTCATTGTACTGAAAAGCAGGACGTAAAATTAGTTTCTTTTCTTGTAGTAAACCACCATATGTTTCAAAACATACATTACACAAAATTAAACACAGATTTTCATTTAACATAAATGGTGTGAGGCTCCCTGGCAGCTTAGTTCACAAGTATTTCCACCCAGCCTTCCATTTCTCCTTGGAGGAAATGGCTCCCTGAACAAAATACAGTCTGAAGAACCAGAGAGGCTGTGCCTGGAAAAGCCATCTAGCACTGGGCCACTACAAGTTTCCATAAAGAAACTGGATATAGGTGGCTCCTCCAATGCATACCAGACCCACCCCCAGGCTCCCTCTTGTTTTGTCTCAGTGTTTATAGGCAGGGACCCAAAGATCCTTGGGGCTATGAAGTTAAAACATTGTGGGATTAGTTGCTAGCAGGACTAGGCTAGCAACTAGCATTTAAAATCACAACTTGTTTTATCCACATTAAGGAAAGCCTAATATTAAAAAGTGCAAATATCTAATTCTTCCATCTAACTATTGCCTATCTGTAAGAACTAATTTATAAAAATGCAGAGTAATTTGTAAAAATGCAGAGTACCTGTATGGCTAACAAAGGTAAACAGAAACAGCAACTGCTAAGTGCTTAAAGTTCAGACCTTGAAGTGTTCTGAGCATTTTGAGTATTTCTCAAAACAGCACATTTTCCAAAACTTTTAGCTCATTATCACTTTATGGCAAAAATATCAGTAAAGAAGGAGACAAGATTTTCTCAGCCGTTTAGTATTTAACTAAGAATTATGACAAAAAAAATTTCTAAAGGTCTATTAAACTTTTGTTAACACCACATCGGATTTAAGAGTGTTCACACTTCTTCATCACTAAATCAATGCAAAACAGGGCCACTGCAGCTACAGCATTCACCAACACCTAGCTTTGTCCTTAACTGCATGTATCTGTTTGTGCCTACAATTGACGAAACAAGATCTCAGGGGAAAGATAAAAAAACCCACAAAAACCAAGAAGGCTCAAATCTCTAATAAAGCTCTAATAAAGTCATATAAGAAAGCATACTCCCTTTGCTTCCTTCAGTTCTAAGTTTGATTCTGCTACATCCCCTTGTCTGTTAAACAAGGCAGATTAACAAAATCAGTCTGCTTTTTGACTACACAATCTAATTGTCTGTACAGCACGTGTTTTACAAGTAAGTGCTTTTGCAAGCACAAGGACAGCAACAAGTCAACGTTGAGGTAGGTGACAACGTGTCGCAAGTCAGAGACGAGAGCCCAGAACAGTAAAAGGCAAAAAATATGCTTTAAGTCACCTGCGCAACATTACAATTTTAGACTGCTTTGGGATAAACCAGGTCTGAAAGTTTTACAAACGCAAGTCTACATGGCAGTCAAAGAAGCGATAGCAGAGTAGTGCATGTACATGCAAGGTAGCTCACCTCTGCAGCCCAAAATCTCTATCTAGCCTAGGTGCAGAAGAGCAAAGCATAAAACAGTTTATCTACACTACAGACTAACTGGTAATTACAGTAACTAATCCCCAGCTGCCTAGAAGTAGCAGAGTTCTTCAAAGTTCCATGCACTATGTTAGGAATCTCAGCTTGAAAGAGTCCTCAAAAGGAGCCCCTCAAGCCACGCAAGCACAAAAGGCTCTGGTTCAGGAGCCACAATCTCAAACCTGACTGGTTACACACATGAAATTACAGAGTTTCTAACTGGTTTCAAATTATGTTTCTACAAATTCAGCCACATCATTTCCCAAACGAAACACGCCAAGTCATACAATTACTTGATGCAAAATATAACTCTTATTCTGTGCTGATACTTCTGACAGTGTCTTACTGTACTACTTTAGATATAAAGCATTTTCAAAAACTATTTGTTTTCATCCATTACTGCATTCACATATACCAGACAGCTGAACAAAATTCCCTATTGATCACATCAGTTCTCTAACAAACTGCTGCTTCTGTTTTTCTGAAGCCTGAAACTTCCCAGCTGTGGATATTGATTTATTAGATGTGAAGGAGAGTAACATATCTGCCTGTGCAGAACTGCTAGCCTGGAACACTTACTGTAACACCATTACCAAAATTGTGACCTCTCTTAGAAATGATCATTTCAGTTATGCTATTTTTAACTCTGCTTCAGCATTCCCTGCCTGTGGGATGTAATTCCCACTAAAATGCAGCACTCTTGGAACAACTACTGAAGTAAAATTTCACAGGGAACAAGGAACGTGCTTCAGTCCCAGCATAGGACCAAACCGACAGAGTACTCCTGCACCGACACATCAGCATCTAAATTGGGTGCATTTCTAGGCAATCTAGGATGCAAGCCTGTAAGTTACCAGATAATTTTCCC